CAAGCAGTAGAGGTAGACAGGCAGTTAGGGGTAGTAAGTATACAGTACAGGGGTTGTGCCGCGCTGTGCGGTATGGTATACCTCGAGCGCCGTAGGGGTGTCTGGTAGCAAGCTGCAAGAGGTGCTAGTTATATCAACTGCTATAGTCTGTGTCCCTGGTACAGGCTCCTTTTTATCGAATTATTAACATCCCTCTGAAATTTCGTAAATAGCATCATCTCATCGTAACCTGCAGAAATTTTATTTATGAAAATTCCAGGATTTGGGGCGTTTTCAATCTGGAGATCGGCAAACTGTGTCTATTTAATTATCTACTAAAAACTCGTAAATACCCGTTTGCTAAGTATATTAATCGTAAGATAATTTGAGCACAATCTACAGAAAAAAGGTGGCCTCAAAAAAGCCGTTCGGCGTGATCTACACCCCCAAACTGTCAAAATAGCGAGGCTATATAGGCCAAACTGTCCAATATTTTTGCAGGCCACCTTTTTTCCCACTTTTTAATCAAATTATATTAGGATCCGAGTGGAAAGTATATGCAAGTTTTTAGTACTTAATTAGATTGACAAAGTTTGCCGACCTCCAGATTGAAACCGCCCCAATTCCAAGAATTTTCGTAAATAAAATAGTTGTAGGTTACGGTAAGATGTTCCTATTCCCGAAGTTTCGGACGGATGTTAATAATTTGATAAAAAGGGCTCTGTACCATGGAATATTATTGATTTCGTTATTAATGTTAATTTTAGTAGCTAAAGTGTTTTTAGTTCTCGTGTAAAACTACTGTAAATTCTCCAAAATGTTTACAATGAAATTAATAAAGTTTGGATCATTTACTTCAGTTCTAGCTCAACTATAGAAAGAGAGGTCTAAATCTATTGAGGTCTACTGTACGAATGGTACTTATCATTTATGGAATCATCAAATGTATGATAAGTGACGTCATTGAAACATATATAATTCTCTTCCAGAAAATATCAGTCCACGCCTAGATAATTTAAAATATTATATACCTGTTGAATATAATAATCAAAAGAAACTAAATTGAAGAGAAATAAAGGCCGTTAATGTCCTTACTTCTCTAATACAATATTACTTATTTTACACCTTCTTTCCGAAAATATATTACGTAAGCTGTTATCATTCTGATGTTCTGTGTGCCTACGTTAAAGGGAAAACACTCTAAGAATTTAAATGTACAAAATTAAGGAAATTCCAGTTTCCGTATCGGCCTGATAGCCGAGCTAATTGAAGAAGACTGGGCTGTAATGGATATTCCATTCCCTGCCTCCTGTATCTCCCCCCCCCCTCAGAATTAAGACGACACACACGAAGCCGTTGAGCTGCAATTGGACTGATGACTGATGAGGCAGCACTCGGTCCATCCGGATTGATCTGCTCGTATCCGCTCCCTGCCAAGGCCCCCTTCATCATCTGCGCAGATATCAGGCTGGCGTATCTCTTATCTCTTATCACATCGCTGCAGCGAGGCTTTTAGGGAGGTGCGTTTGATGTTTTAAAATATGTCTATATTTCAGTCAGTTGAAGTCCCTCGCTGGTTTATACCATTCTCAAATTTATTTGTTTTATTATTATATGAATACAGTTTTAATTTTCATTAAATAAATTTAAACAAAATTGCAATAAAATTATAATGAAAAATAAAAATATTGCAATATCACCTTTAATACTAGAAACTAATCCAAATGCCAACACATCACCTTCACGCTCTGATGCAGTTCCTGTCCACCAGTACAGTTTAATTCCATCCAGCTTCCTTTCTCAGACACAGTCCGGTATCTTGGCTTTCTCTTAGACAGACGGCTAACGTGGAACCCTCATACTAGACTTGGATTGGGAAAGAGGGGCTGGTAGAATGTTGGTAATTAGGTACCTGGCTCGTTGAATAAAGTGAACCAACAACGTAAAAGTACTGATAATGAAATACTACAGGTGTCTTTGGTTAATCTATGACAGTTCCTTTATCTTCTACAGTCTATTAAAACGTTTTAACATTGGAATTACTTAAGTAATGTAGTAGGAAGGAGCAACCTCAGAGCAACCAGTACTAATGTATAAACTGATAAAGCTTCTCATCTTCGTCATATTTGGCAGCGATGGTAAAATTTAATATGTTCTTACTATTTCAGATGAAAGTATTTCCAAAGTATAGTCTTAAGATCTTGTGTACTGTCATCAAAAATAAATTATTTGACAGATAAATTAATTATTCATTTTTGAAACATTCCGAATTATTGTAAGTTCGTTTTTTGAATTTTCTTTTAGTAGGTTAACGAAATGATGATATATTTTGGCTAGATCGTAGATTCTCGCTTGAATATTTCTAAGAAAGCACTGCTGTCCCGTTGTTACCTCGACTCCTTTAGATCGCAGCTGACCTTGCCCAGGTATGCTAGGACCCTCTGTGGGATGGGCCAGGTGTTGCGTCAGTCAATGGCCGAACTGCCGTATTATGTTGGAAGTTAGTCAACGCTATCAGCCTAGAATTCATTATTACTGCTTTGGGCAGGCTTTACCATGGCAGCCATAGCGTTCCTATTGTTCACTGGTAGCGGGGAACATTGTATTCTTACACGGAGGTTAAGCAAATCTTTGTTCTCAGGTTCGAACATTTCAATTAGTGTTCTAAGTTTTATACTTAGAACCGTAGTGGAATCCAAGCCTCTCACCATCGATCCAAATTTGACGAACCTTTCAAGAATTATGGAGTTTAGTACTTAGATGACCTCTTACCAATTGTGCAGGTTAGTACCTAGATGACCTCATTAATGATAGGCGGTGATCATATTCTGGTGATCACAGTGACAGGCGCACCGAAATCACAGTGACGGTCACCGTAGGCGCTGTGGAATCACAGCTCTAATCATTCCTATCGCTCCAGCGATCTGAGCATTGTTGGCATAATTTATTTAATAAATGAATTAAAGGAATAATCATAAAATAATTATTTCTAAAATAATAGTTACTCATCAAATTTTATTCAAAATACTTTTTGGAACTTTGGATGAATTGATCATTCATTGCCGTATATTTCTGAATGAGTTATGTCGAAATAATTAGCGGAAAGTTTTTCATTTAACTGTTGAAATATAAATAATAAATGAATTTCAAATTAAATAAACTCAAATATTCTCAGCAGGGCTGCATACAGGAGCCAAAGGATCTCAAAGATATTTTCCCCCGTTAAATATAAAATTTATCACCGAAAAACAAATATAGATAATATTATCTATTTTTTATTTTAATATAACTTTAAACTCGTAAACAGTGAATTCACAGTGACGCTTTCGCCAAGAAGCAGTTGTACACTTATCACCGAAAAAAAAAATCACTGTGATTTGCCACAGTAATTTTCCCGGAGCTGTGAAAATCTCTGTCACATCCCAACACTAGACCTCATACAAATTTCATCAAATCTCATCCTATAATTTCGCTTACGCTTGCGCAAATATATTTCCCATATATTTGTAATTAATTTCATTTATTAAAGTTGATTTGAATGGATGAAAAGTGTTATAGTTATTTGCTACATACAAGGTAAAATATATCTAGTGAAGGACGTGCCGACAGAGCAGTAACAGCTGTGAATTCACTCCCACTTCTCCTTCCCCTCCCCCCTTCCAAAGTTTGCAACAATTTTCTTTGAATGGTCCAGTTTCCGAAGCGGCCAATCGGAAGCCAGATTGCGCTGCGAGATCTAGTTAATGTCTTTTCCTTTTTCCACGGCAAACTTTGATCTACTTTCTCAACTTTTCCTTCCCCAGTCTCTTCTGATTTCTTTTTCCTCAACAATTCCTGCTTTTTTTTATTGGAAGTCGATTTCCCATTAATTGGAACCCGGAGGTATATATAGCCACCGGTCTGATTGATAGCGTTGGATCAGGCATGGGCTGCCGTGGCAGAGGTTAGGAGTTCGAATTCCGGGATTAGGCATGTAGTTTTGGTAAAAGTATTTAAATATTTATAAAAATATTTGTTAGTAGAAATCTAGGTTCAAGTACAATCTAAATATAGGTGTCCACAGATTGTTACTGACACGTACTGATATTTCGGTGGATAAGGTATTTTCATTTGCGTTTAAAACCATTTTTTATGGACAAACACGATCAGTATGAATATAAACGGGAGGTTTGTAAATTATAGTTTGTGATTTAACAACTGATATTTTATTATGGTTGTATTATTAGTATTATATTTAAGGCAAACATTGTTAGCGGGAAAATGACGTTTAATGTATAATGTATTATAATTATAATATTATTAATGTATTATTAATATTATTAATTATGTATTATAATTATAATGTATTATAATGTATTGGTTTAATTGCCTAAGAAAAAATGTTCTACATCTTTTAAAAATTCATTAAAACTCTTAATTTGAAACTTTATTGCAGACATAAAATGTAGCAATGTATATTTTCACAAAAACTGTTTTATAAAAATTGTACAAAGTAATATTCTCATTATAAACTTAATATTTATAAGGTGTGTAAATATAAGAATACCTTCCAAAACTTCCTTTAAGGTGGCTCAAAGAGAGAAAGCATAGAGGAAATTCGATAACGGGCGAAAAGTTTAGCTGATTCAGAAAAGGATGTTTGGGCACAAAGGCTCGAGTGAGGACACAAAGCAGTGACTAACGGCCTCTTCACCAAAATAAAAAACTCATTCTTTATTAAAGAGAAGGCGAGCTGGAAGGAGAGGGGGGGGGATTTGGCAAATACGGTAGGTTAAAAGATTTCTCCGGGAGGGACTACTGCCTTAGTGAGAGTAAATATGAAAGGTCTTCGGATGTCGGCTTTTAAAGAAATTAAGCTCTTCTTGGGGATAGTGTGGTAAAAGGTTCTTTTCACATTTCCTTGTAATGTTCCGAGAGGATGAGCACTTGGGAATATTTGTATGAGAGGAGAAATAAATTGCGTTTTCCATTTTACTTTCGATCACTTGAAGGATACTCCGCGCTAACATTTAGGGAAAATTATGGTCGGCCGAAACGTAAGTGAGAGTATCGAGGGTTTGGGGTTTTATTTAATGGGGTTCAGTGTTGGAAAGTACCTAGAAAAGGGCTGTGTGTGCCATCGGCATCGAACCTTGGGTTCAGCTCAGCTCTATAGTCAATGCGGTTCCCTTAAAGTACTGACTGAGATGAATGGAGGAGGTGGAGGCTGCTTGGTAATTGATAACAATAAATTGATAAAGAGGATTATTACAAGTACTGAGCCATCGAACGACCTCGTGCAGACCAGAATGCAGTCGATATCTATCGATCCGCTCTTAATGCCACTCTTATCTGCAATGGTAGCCCAGGCTGGCCGTAGTACACGAGGTTTCTATTGATAGCAATTATCTGTATATGTTTCGTTAGACAAAGAGTAAGGAAGATCACTTATTGTGGCTGGCTTCTGCTCCGGCCGTGGCAGGTAATTGTTTATTCTAGATTTCATTAATTGAAAAAATTAATACGAAACAAAAAAAAAGGACACTAGTTTCATCTTTCCAAACCAGTGCATCTTCGAAACTGCAAGAAGCTCAGAAACGAAGTGATCTACACATCAGCAGGTTACCTAGAAGTGACATACAAACATTCCTCAATCAAACCTTGCCCATGTGAAGTTGAATACGTTAAAAAGAAGCTTTCATAGACTATTCCGAAATGGGGCGCATGCATTCCGTCTGAGCCGCCACTACAATGAGAGGCAAAAATGTTAATAACCCGTGTAAGATCAAATACTAGCTTTCCAGTCAAATGTTTTACATATTTGTTTAAAGTATCGTTTCTCCACATTTTGGAAACTGATTTAGTTCCTGTCATGGTTTGATGATTAGTCAAAATCATTACTTTTACCCAACTAATACCTGTTTCTCAAAGTAACTAAAAAGTTAGAAGTAATGGCTCTAAAAGATCATTTAACAGAAATACGATCAAAAAGTAACATTACATGGTTGTCTCAGACCTGCAAAAAATTTTGAACCGAAAATATAATCCTCATAGAACAAAAATTACGCATTTTTTTTTCGTCCCCTGAAAATTTTTAGTTTTTGTTCTTACAGGCTTTTACAGTGTGGCTGTCGATATGTAACATCATTTACGCAAATATTTGATAATTATTTTCAACCTAAAAGTCGGTCGATTGATTGGAATATCAAACGAAATAGAAAGCTGTATTCCATTGATGTTAATATGCGATAGAGTGTGCCATAGAAACCGGAGCCATGCTATTAATATTCTCGATGCAGAAGACAAACAGAAAAGAAGTATCCGGACTCGCGTAAACTAACTTTGGAGTGGCATACAAAGCTCCTCTTACTGCCGCACCACTAACACAATAGCAGCAGGCGTTATCGTTCATTAGGTTTATTTAAAAAAAAAAATGATGACATGTACTAGAGTAATAGGAAATGAAAATCACTATGAATGAAATTCCGCCATTTCCAAGATTTGGAAATATATTTCCTTTATATTTGTTACTTATTATACCAATAATAATACCTAAGGTGGTTAACGATTTACAGAATGATTAAATAAATTAATAATTAGATTTCCACAACAACACTATCAATGAGGACAGTTGACCAGTATACGTTGAGCCCGCCGCCATACGGCGCAGAAGAGAGCGGTTGCGGCTGACAGCCTAATATATACGGTCGCAAGGACACGCAACGCTATTGGTCCAATAGTCCCCAAGAAATTTATTCTACGTCTTCCAATCTCAGTGCATTCATATTCATGATTGATTACAGAGAATCGTTTTAAAAAATAATAAATGAAAATGTGTTCATTATTTTGATTAATTGTTTAAGTTACGAGTATTTGTGGCTAACGTTGAGGTTAATAAAACAAACAAAAAAACTCTCATATTGAATTTTCTAAATGATTTTCATTATATTTGACAATTACAATACTTCCGGTTCTTCTAGTTAATTCATCCACAACATGAATTTTGTTCCAAAATAGAAAATATTTTACTAGGAATATTATGTGCAATGATATGAGCCAATTATGAGAACCGGCTATTCTCAGTATAATGTCCAATGAGAATGCAAAAGCAAACGCACCAGTTCTTGGAGCTAACAAACCGGATGTCCTGACTTTCACACGAGAGAAAATAGCCCCAGATGTCCCGATCAGCTTCAGAAGAAGTGCAACAACCGTCGCTAACGCTTCGAGGACTTTTAATGGATTACGTCACTCCATCATAGGCCTAATCATATTTTGGGTTTTATATAAAAAATAAACAAATCTGGCGATTGATTTGAGGATAAGCTAAATGAAGTTTAAAACACTAATGAGTGACATCTATTGTTGTTATGTACCTCTTCATCAGGGCATTCGCGAAGTCTCCGGGCCTGACCTGCTAATTGGGTCGAGATGTAGAAACATAATAAGGGTCTTTAGATTTCATTCACCCACAACTGCATAAATGAGTATAATATAATAAATGAATATATTTTTATGAAAAGGCTTAGATAATTTATGAAGTGAGAGCACGGTAATGAAAACAAATAATAACTACTAAAACTCTTCAGAAAACCTGCCTGTTAATTAACACCATCTCTTCAAAAGACCTCTATCAAATCCTTCCCCTCTCTGATTGTAATTGTTAGGCTTATTCAAAGTTGTATTAAAAATATTGACCATAAATCACATGAAGTCCTTAACGTTAAAACTCGTCCTTAAACAGATCCTCCTATCAAATCCACACACCAGAGCCAAACATAAAAATATCCTGAAAAAAATTCTTGATGTATTTTGTGTTAGAAACGATGTGCGATTTTAAATGTTATTCTTTTTACTGGAAACTTTTCATAAACGTCTTTCTCTGAACCCTTACCTCAAATCTTTGTTCAGGTTTAGTTCAAGATTGAACACATTATAAGATATTTTTACTCGTTATAAAATATTTTAAAAACAAAATATTTGTATATTTTGTTGCCATATCAAATCGCCTCTTTTTCTTTTTTTCTTTTTTAATTATTTAAGCAATTCGAAAATCACTGGAGTCATTTTTACGGAAACAAAAAAACCGGTAATAAACCTCAACTAGAATAATGGAATTGCTATAATATGAAGGGCTCAACTCGAAAAATTATTGTTAGAGCGAAGACTAGCATTGATTACAGCCTTAATTTGTAGCATCCACAATATATCGAGATTTCGTTTGTTTTGTTTAATTAAATATAATTTAAACATAATATAATAACAATAAAATAAAATATCAATAGTCGATAACTTAAAGTGAGAAGATAGATTTTTGTTCAATTTATTGAACTTTTTTTTTTTGTACTGTTTTTAAAAACAATGTCCCAAAAATAAAATTTAGGAAATTTTTAGTTTGAAAGGGACGCTAGGAACAGGACTCAGCCACTGGGAAAAGGGCAGTATAGATGCGATCAGTCGCGGATTCATCGTTTGATTTTACCAATGCAAAAAAATATTTCATACAAACGAAAATTTCATTTAATTTTCTTGGAAACACGTGATTCATGTTAAATAATGTTAATTTTCAGAAATTTTTATTTATATTTTTTTCGTCACCCTTCGGTACCTTCTACAACGATGTAAATTCTTGTACGATATATTATACTTATACCTTCTGACTATTATTTCCAGAGATTCGTTTTTGACCTGGATGAGCATTTTTATTTTATTTTTCTCCTTTATTCAATTACCAAATTCTTTCAAAAGTTATATTCAGCTTTTTTTTTATAACTCCTAACAATGAGAGATAATTAATTGTTTAAAATTAACCAAATTAAAGGTACTTTAGAGGAAGGTATTTTGAACATTGGGTGTTTAAGCCCTGACACCAATAAGGATCAGACCTAAATTATATTAAAGATTAGTTAATTTTGCATTGATTCAAGTTTAATCAAAATGATTATAGCCGTTTATGAGAAAATCGTAAAAATGTGTGTAAAAATCTATAATATTAAGTGCCACCTCAGGTTATCCGATTTTGACGAAAAAGTTGGTGTAGCATTACAGACATATACAAACCTTAAATATACAATTTCACTTTCGGAAGACTTTTCGTTTATTTCAAATAACTGTTAACTGTTAATTAGTCCTTAAAGGCCTGTACAAAATTTAAAAAAAGTAATTACAGGAATAATACTGCTTTTTTAAAATATTTTCTACCCTAATGTCCCCGCTCCACCACGAAATCGTTTATTACCTGTGACAGCGCAGGTACGGGAGATGGATTCTGTTTGTTAGACCTAGAAGTTTATGCTGTAAAAGTAATGATCTTTTATTGATCCTGCGACCTATCTATCCTTGGAGCCACCCTTGACCATGAGCTGCCTACCTCAAAAGGAAAGGACCCGACCTCGAGGACGCTCTTATTTACCGAGCATCCTCTATTAGGGATTGTTATCGTCTCGCTTTAAATTTAGTAGTACTCTGTCCTTGTCTTGTCAAAGTCTATCAAGTTTTATATATATATATATATATATATATATATATATATATATATATATATATACTTGGTTATAGCTTGTGTGACTTGATTCGTTCTTGAAGAAAACCTTTAGTTGTAATACTGCTTCGTTATAAATTAATTATTATTATAATTTATGTTGTATTTTAGCATCATAATAATAGTCCTGATTTGCCAATGTCGTGTTAAGATTAGTAAATACAATAATAGTGAATAAATTGGGCATCTTCTTTGATGGCAGCTCATAGAAGTTTGTTGTGAGAAGTTTATATACAATAAAATAAATAAATATACATAAGCAGATGTAAACAATGAAGAAAATAATTTCATTTTAAATTTATAAGATATATCCACTTTTTTAACCTTAAATTAAAAATTAAATTAAATTTTTCAAAAACTCAGGGTAAAATATATCACTTTATAGTGTCGTAAAATATTATTTTGAAACATAATTTTTCCTTAAACAAAATGTTAAACTAAAATTATCAGTGATCCTATTTACTTATTCAAATACTAAGGATGATTTAATTATTGGACCAGGTCATCCCTGTAATCTCAAATTAATATCCTGGTGATAATGTCCAGATATTGCTATTTAATATTTCTTTTTGTTCCGAACTATACTAAATATTTTTCTTAGAGTATACTTTACGAAATAAGGTGAGGTGTATTCGACATATAGAACAAAGTTGGATTGCCATTAATTCTAAAATGTCTTGTGTAATAATAATAGTATTAATTTTTAAAAAAACCTGTACCACTAACAACCCATAATGGGGAGAGTCCTGAGTTCAGTACAATGTGAGGAAGTACTGTTACAAGACCAACGGTTGTGCAAGGAGATGATCGGGCCGAGACCACGTTCGGTCTCTTGGTTTCCTCCTTGATTGATTATTT